AACATTGATGTATATAAATAAAAAATAATTCACAAAATACATATTTCACATATAATTGATTGACATCCTCACCCAGATGACAACCAATTTGCATGCTACCAATAATGTGCTTGTTTCTTGAGTCTTTCATTTAATGTACCACCAATCACCATAAAATATAATTTATAATTTATTGTGTAACTAACAAACAAATCATAATATGCATAATGTAGGTAAGACAATATAATATATCAAATATTAATTTATCCACCATGTGTGGTTGAGCTTATGGGAATACTTATTGCTACTTGTAACAACTTATAAAGATTGGGATAAACATGTTTTTCAATCACTTTGCTAATATGATTAAYATCAAAATCAAGTATTATGGTAATCATGCAGTTTCTTGCTACAGTCATTTCTGATTTTAAAGCATGAATATCTATCATTAAAACATCCTAAAACAATAAAAATTTTAATACATTTATTGAGAAAAAAATATTATTAAAAAATGTAATATTAACCTTGTAATGATTTATAAAATATGAACTTTCAACAAAATCCATTTTAATAAAACATTCAAYAGAACATGCCATGAGTAAACTCTCTTTGAAAAATCTATATTTAAGGTTTCTTACAACAGAATCAATTAGCTGATAGAGCTATGGACGAAAATACACTCATGTGGAAAAACCRCTTTCTATAGTTAATAACAAATAACTGAATAACAAATAATTTTCAATGATATTATRGATAGATGATTAAATTTAATAAATATTATATCACAAAAATCACAAAATCCAGAGATTCAATATTTTTTTATCAGAGGGGGCTATAAAAATATTTAGGGGCGCTAAGGTAAGGAATAAGGATGGAACATTTAAAACCACGATTCTCATAAATATTTCTTACTGTTGTAACCAAGCAATTTAAAAAATATACAAATACAGTTTTTTTATACTAACATTTAATTTTGAAAGAAATTTCTTTTCAAAACTAAGAATAACGGTTAGTTATTTTGAGGTAATAAAAAAATTTTATTCGTGGGTGCATATAACTTTTGTAGTTTATTATTTCATACTTTATACACCCATTGAAATTTCCAAATGTAATTTTTTGACAATAACTATAATTTAACTTAATTTTATGCTGATCCYAAATAGTAAAATAAATATACTTAGTAATATTTRAGKCTAAAAGACCATCTACACTCAAAATTGTTTTACAATTCTATAAATTATTTCTGAAAAGAAATATTTAAAAATAATATTATTAAGGCCCTCCAAGCTCCCCTAGTTGCACCTATGCTAGGAACTGYTTYGTMATTTAATCTAAAATTTTGTAAAAGATATAATATTTTTATTTTCTGTAGTATAATATTGTTGTCAAATGAATTAGTTCACCAAAATGAATTGAAAATACTCATYACTAATATTAGTAATACTGTTGGTGCCCTTTTTAAAGATGGCGGCTTGATTAGTATCTGACTTCACTTTTTTATCACAGTTAGCAATCTAGTTTATTATCTATATCTGTGGATACCCATTTTCTTAATTGCAGTCCCGCACTATGTAATATTGCCATTAAATTATTACGTAATGTAAATGTTTCCGCTAATGAACACGCTCCACTTAATAAATCATACACATAAAAATCGGATGCTATTACTTCACTTGCTACTGGGTATTGCGTTTTGTATTCATCTGACAAATTTTTTAAGCAACCTGTCGCTATATACGATGCCGGTTTTGTGCCGTAAGTCACCGTTTTTAATCGGTATTCTTTAATCTCATCGTCAGGTTTAAATCGCCATAATATTTTTTGTAAGTTTTTGTCTTTTTCAGATACCCATATTTGTCTGTACATTTGTTTAATGTCAGCTGTTAGTACATATTTATGTGTTCTGAATCTGGACACAATGCAGATTAACTCATCTTGAATGGCGGGTCCTTTAAGTAGCACGTCGTTCAAACTTACGCCCGTATTGGTTGCACATGATGCGTCGAATACAACACGTATTTTTGTCGTGAGGCTGTTATCTCAGTATACAGCGTGGTGTGGCATAAATTACGATTGCGTGCTCGTATCTGTGTTCGTACTACATAGAGAAATTTCCATATGACCAAGCTGCAAATATTCGTTTATAAATTCTTAATAACCCTCGTATAACTTGCGGTCTCTTCGCAAACGATTTTCTAACGCAAAAAATCGTTTTTGAGCGATTATTCGTGAATCACCTAATCTTTCCTCTTCTTTTGTTACTGGTAATAATTGTATGACGAATTTTCCGTCGTCACCTCTTTTGACGGTATTTTCGAAATGCTCGACACACCATTTTTCATCCTGATCGTGATGGTTCGCTGTCGTGATTTCTTCATGATTCCGAAACTTCGCCAACTGGTTTTGTAACGGATCACCATTATATTTTATTTATTGTTTGCGCGATAAATGTGTGTACGTTAGTTGTCGTTTTGTCGATAATTAGTCCAGCTACGACCCACCCTAGCTCGGTTTCCTGGAACACTTGGCCGTTTTTATATGACTTATGTACGCGATCCGCATTTGAAGGACCATATGTTCGGGCCGTACGGCGATTTGATTTTATTTAAATTTATCGAACGCACGACAATTAGAACTTTAAGTTATATATACAAAAAAAAAAATTAACGCTTTTGTTTATCCAAACAAAATTATTATATTTTTTGTTGTTGTTAAATATCTTTCTTATTGAGATAATTTAATACAATAATTTTTAATTACGTAGGTATAATTTTAATTTTTATACCATTTTTGGTCTCATTTAACGCACTTAGGATTGGCGATAGACAGTGCATCGATCGCAGCTGTCACGACTCTCACGAGACTWAAAACTGGCCTTTTGACCGGTTGAGCCGATAGCCCGTTATTATCTCTTATCTTTATAACCTTAGGTACCATTTTTTGTATGTGCCYTTCCACGCATTTATCAGTATTGTATCTGATGCATTTCCATTTTCCAATAAGTTTTTTTCTTTTTTTCATGTAATCTGTTTCAACAATACCTATATCCCAAGTACACCAACAAGTCTTTTCCTTTGGAACTTTTTAATTAATTTATAGATATTGTAAATCGCGTTATAACAATAATAAACAAATCGATGAACGTGAAAAAGCGGACTGACGACTGATCGCCCGTCATCAGATTATTATCTCCGTCGTCGTCTAAATAGTAGATAATATTGTAGATACCTACTCCTAATGTGTGTTGGCTATTAGTTTATCGACGAATCATTTTTGGATTTTACAACGATAACGAAAAATATTAGTCGAAAACATATAACAATAAAATATCGGAATGTAGATGTTTAGAAAATATTGTGTCTACATATGATGAATATGATCTAAATGAGTACTTAATAATTGGAATCGCTCATAATATTTAGAACTACAACATTAAAATATTTTATGGTAATTTTTTGTATTTTTATTACTTATATTTTATATTTATGAGTATACTTATAATAGATGGGTATATGCCGTACGGGGAAAACGTATTGGACGGAGAAATATATTACGGGGAAGTGGATACGAGGAAACGTGTGACGGGGAACTGGGGAAGTGTCCATTAATCTGAAAACCAAATACAAAATCAATTTGACAGTAAATATTAAACACTTTAAAAACACCAAAGTCCAAACACTTGAAAAGTGAAAACCAAACATCACACAGTGTTGATGACAAAATATTTGGTTTGCCGGGTATTCGCGGCCCGGGTATCACTATCAGGTAAACCACCTGCAGCATACGATATATTCCAAATAATTTTAACCTGTTGAAATGGTCACATTGATTCTGGCGGAGACCTTATCAGGCTATTTTTTGTTTACATCTAAGTGCACAATCTGTTTTCATATAATCTGTGCTTATAATTTGTGTTCTGCGATTTGCCACCACGGAGAATCATTACACAAGCATAATCAAAAAATCGAATATTTGTTTAGGTGTAATGATCTTATTCCTAATAAAGAAAGATAACCACGTAGTGGCAAAGACGTGTATATAATAATTCTAGAAAAACAAAACTAAAACAATTATAGTCATTATAGATATATTATTTAGATAAAATTAAAGATAAAAATATAGATACATTATCATTATTATTATTTGCATTTGCATTGATGATAAAAATGAGTGATATCACAAAAAACCCTTCGTAAACTTCGTGTAAAAATGGCTGCGTAAAAAAAAAATATATTAGATCTTTAAGCACTATAAAGATGTGATATCATGAATTAATGCTAATAGTATATTGAATTTAAGTAAACGTATTTTGTTTCAATAATTTATTTACTTGGCGAGAAATTATTTCTTAAAAAAAAAATTTTGAATAATAATATTATTAAAATAATCATAAATACTTAACGCACCAATGCTATTATAAGATGATAATATCTACGAATTTGAAATTAAAAATTACCACAATCTCGTTGGTCTAAAAACATTTTATAATTAGTTGCATTTCTTTCAGTTCTAGTAACATATAATAAAAATGTAAATAATGTAATATTAAAAATAATTTGCCGCCCAAAGCACTAGCTTAAAGTGTTTACTGGGAAATATGGCACTAGCCATTTAATTATTTTGTTCATCACACTTTGTTTCGTTTAAGAAATAATTCCTCGCCAAGTAAATAAATTATTGAAACAAAATACGTTTACTTAAATTCAATATACTTAGCATTAATTCATGATATCACATCTTTATAGTGCTTAAGGATCTAATATTTTTTTTTTTTACTTACCTAGCCATTTTTACATGAAGTTTACGAAGGGTTTTTGTTGTGATATAATATAGTATACCTACTTAGTATAAGTTACGACTTGTAAATATTATAACTTATTTATCAGCATAATAGTATAAAAGTATTATTTGAACCTATATAAAAACGAAGAAAATGTGAACTGTTCCAAAATACCTATATGATTATTTTTATACAATTTTTTTTAATTTAACACCACTAATTTAAATAGTCCCGTTGTTAATGTGATAAATAAACTTTGGCTTTTTGTTAAAAATATTTTGTGACATTTTGTAAAAATAACCAATATAATATTATTAGATATTGGGCATGTCTGTAGCACAATGTCTGGAAGGTAGGAAGGTCTGGAGGTATTTGGAATTCATTTTTCAGTTCCATTGTCGATCCATGATCGTTCTGTATATTCATGTGGACTGTGATGGAGTAACATTATTGTCATCTGTAGTATTGCCTAGGGCCAAGTGTTTGAGTTCATCATGGTAAAAAAGTTTTACAACGTACAGCATTAATAAAATTATCACTGAAAATAAGCGATAAGCATTAGTAATATTATGAGACGATTGGGTTAATGGTTTCTCGTAAAACATTAAATGTTGATACATACGACTAGAGATGAGTCCAATACACAAGAACATCAGTGGGTCATCAGATACAAATGCTGCACTAATGTAGTAAATGAATGTATGTATTAAAACCATTAAATACATCAATAACCAATGTTTGATATTTTGAACATTTTGCTAAAAAGGAAATTTAAGTTTTCACGGTTAGTTACAACGATTTTTGTAGAGGTAGGCAAGTCCATGATATATAAATTATAAGGTTCATATTATTATAGTATTAATTTATCCACATAATAATTGTGCTAATTTTATGAAATAAGTGGTTTTTAAATAAAATATTAGTTTATCCGTATAATATGTATCTGCGTAAATCATCGTCTATTAGTTAAAAATGACATAATAATTTTAAATATTACATATTAATTAGGGTTTCGTAAAAACTGCTGAATACAATTTGATGGGTGGTTCCATTTTCCTCCAAAAACGAGATGCTGTTTTAGGAAATTGTATCTCGTTTTTGGAGGTAAATGGCAACGGCCAACTTCATTTACTTTTTGTTTGCAAATACGATTAGGACGCATATTTACATAATAAGTATAAGTATAGATATTAAGAAAGCTGAGGACAAACTAATTATTTTTTATTGGCCTAACACCAATCAATTTTAATTGTATTGAAACTTCATAAATGTGTGTAAATAATTTTTTTTTACATTGTTTTACTTTGATATTTTTTAACTTACTTCATGTATTGATTTCTTCAAACAAATGTTGGAGTAAAGAAGAATAATTTGCAAAATTAATGAACCACATAAATCATGTATAGTATTTATTCTATTGGTTGTGGTCTCTTCTATTTCATTATCTAAGTACATATCATTATTATAGGTACCTAATCAATGACAAAATTAAATATTTTATAAAAATATAAAAATAAAGTTTATTATTTTGTATGTGTGTTTGATGATTAGGGAATGGATTTAAATACTCAAAAAAACAAGAAATTGCCTTAAAAAATACGACTTAATGCATCAAAACAAATTTTTTTTTAAATACTCTTAAAATTATGTTTAATATTGAAAAAATTTGTTTGATTATAGCTATTTATATCAATTCTTATTCTGAGATATGCGTATCATTTTTATTTTTATTACCTATCTTTTCTTTTTACCCTGAAAATTATTTCCAAAAATGAATATACAATTTAGATAGGAGGTTAAAGCACGAACTATCTATGATACAATGGACTGAAAACGAAATAGTTATCGGTTTACAGAAGTACGGCCAGTTTTTGTTACGAAACATTTTATGGCGGGGGTGAGGTAAATTAACAGACGGTGTTGAACTCTAGTGTTGGATACCATGAACAACTATTGTGTGTGCTGTGATCCATAGACAATAGGCATTTAATATCTACCTACTTATTATAATTTATATTATATTATACATAGGCATATTATGATTAGTATAATTAATATAATTGAAATACATATAATGAATTATAATCTGTCGCTGTATTTATAATTTTTTGTATATAAATATTCTATAAAATATATAATTATAATAATATTAATTTAATTTTCAACAACAATCAATATAATATTATTTTTGTTAGTGGTTTGTGGTCCATGTTAACATTTAGAGATAATTTATATTATACCATCGAAAATGAAAACACATTACTACATTAGTAGCTTATGATATTTACCACCAGCGTACAGCACAGTCCGTTATTAATTTCCCGCACCAAAAAATGTTCATAGCAAAACTGGGCCGCTGTTTAGACATTCGTTTCCAGTCTATAGTATCTTAATTCGTGATTAAAGCTAGATAAATAACTTATCTTATCTTTACCTAATTGCATGTATGTTATTTACATGTATACCTTAGTGTCTACACATATCAAAAATAATTTCGTTTGGCGTTACATTTATCTGATCAGTTAAAACATAATAAATATTTGTTTTTATTTTTTTAGAATGAATATTAATTACATTTTTATCGAATTTTATCCATTTAAAAATAAAAATTACACAAAAACATAAAAATGGACAAAAAGTGTTAAAAAATTCCCTAAAATGTATTAGTCTCAAAAATGCAAGATAAAAGCTACATTTTTTAATTCCTTTGATGTATGAAATGAACTTTGCGTTTGGAAAGCATTGTTTCCGACATTCAGAAAAAAAAATGCAATTTGAATTCAAATCCGTTCCTTATAGTGATGAATGATTATACATGATACATAGGTACTTGATACTTAAAAATCATATAGGTATCATGATACAAAATGCAATATACAATTGTATCTTTGATACCTACATCTATGTTTAATATTGACTAACCCCGGACGTAAAAATTTATCATGTAACTTACTTGAGGAAAATAAACGAGCCTTTATTCCGAGTATAATTACCAAAAAAAATATATTCAATATGATGGCTAAGAACATAACACACTGAAATAATACAATGAGATATCAATAAAATAAAATATTTTATTATAATTAATAAATATATAATATAATGTATAATACTGTATAGTGTAGTAGGTACTATGGATTTGTTTTACCTACTATGTTTTATGTATGAACTTTCATTCACCCGTGCTAAGTCCCACTAATCATCTCCATTGACTCCATTTAAACTTTCTTCCACTTTAAATGTTGACATTTTAGAATTTTAAAAACCCACTTGACTAAGATGATTGTCTCTCAGAGTGATACCCACTCGCCCACTTTTTTTTAAATATATCAAAATTCATTTTAAGTGTAAATTAATATCTGTTATTGGAATAAACAGAATTACATTAATAATAATGTCTCATAATATTTAACGGCACAGTACACCATATTAAAAATCTAAATATTAGGTACTATACAGCTAGGGGCGTAATCAAGGGGGAATTTGGGGATAGATCCCTCTCAATATTTTTATTTTACTGTGTGCATTTTATATTTGGTAGGATAGGTTACTGTATGAGGCTTACAGATTTTGCTAAAAACATATAATTCACCCTTCCAAACAAAATTCCTAATTACGCCACTGGTTCTATAATCACGGTAGTAAGTGATAACAGGTTAGGTAAAGCTAACCTAAGTAATAACACTAAATAGCCGTTTACTGTAGGTACACAGTAGTACACACAAATAGTTTTAATTTTATTACGGTATTACAATAATCAAAATTTCAATGATCACTAAAAAGATATCTCAATTATAACATAATATATTATGTATGCATATTTTATCATATCTCAAAAACTTTTAGGTTGATTTCGGGCTCAACATAGTTTGTATGTATTTCGATTATGTGACGGTGCTGAACAATTTTAATGTTGTACCTACCTACCTATTATAATATTATGTTTGTTACCAGTTAACCACTCGGCGAAAAATGATACAATATAATATAAGTTCCTATAATTTTAATGGTTTATATGTTATTATTTAAATATGAAAGTATGTATTAAGTATTTTATAAGTATTTATATTTATTATAAAAATAATAAACGATATATTCAAGCGCCTATTTAAATGATTATTTAAAAACTATTATAAATTATTTTTTATAATATTATAATATTTATATGACAAATAAAACTAATTAAATAATGTTTAAAAAATAATTATAATAATATCATAGTGCATTTCATGAATACATAATTTTAAAAACATCAAGTGAGATTGGTTGTATTAATTAATAGTTATTATTAAGAAATATTGAATTAAATATTTAATACTAGGCAATATTAAAAACATTTTTATCAAAATATTAAGGTTACCAAATTATTTTTAATTAGTAGGTTCATGAAATTATTAATAGCTCATCGCCTTGTATTAATATACGTTTAGAAATAGGGAACTCAGCTTGTTTACAAGCATACATGCAAGGTGAGATTTCCTAGCTAATAGCTATTGTTAATATTTTTTGTCCATTTTATTACAACCTCTTGTCCTTTTCATTCCTAGATTTACTCGGTGATTAATAATTAAAAATACTATGTTTTATACAAGACGTATGCAATTACTAACTACAAGTGCAAGTATCTTGTGTTATTATATCTACCTATAACCACCTTTGACTTTGGACTTCATAATATTTATATATTTAATTTGTTATTTGTAATTCACTGCTAAACATGTGAGTGGTACACTATAGAAATAAGTTTATACTACATACGTCATCTATAATCATTGCGAGTAAATATTAATAATAATGATAATTTTCGTTTTGTCATTAAATATAATGATATTATGCGTTACTGGTTTAGTAAACTTAAGTGTTTAAATTATCAATTATGTACAGTAAACAGCGCAACAGCTCATGTCTTATATTAAACTATATTATTATAGGTAGAGCGCGGATTTATATGCATTAAAAATCAATCAAATATGCGCTAAAAAATCTTAAATATGTATAAATATATGCATTAAAATGTTAAAATATGCATGGAAAATAAAAAAAATATGCATAAAAAATTTCATTTTTGGAACATTTGATTAATACAATATATTATAAAAAAAAATTTTGGAGCAATACTAGAAACATTTTTTTTCCACTTTCACTATTTTCAGGTAGCTTTAATCTATGTATAAAAAAAATAATCAATTTATATCAAAAATGTATCCTAAAATAAATGTAGGTAATTACCTATATTTTGATATTAATCGAAACAATCGAAACTATAAAAATATAATAATTGTTTTTTCTTATATTACGAGTATAATTGAAAATAGTACAAATTTAGAAAATTTCCAAAAAAACAAAAAAAACATCGAAATATGCACGAAAAGATGAAATATGCAATTAAAATTGTAAAATAAGCCCTTAAAATAGAAAAATGACGAAATATGCAAAAATATGCACAACAAAGTTTCATTTTTTAAATCGTTATGTCATGAAATATATTTTGGGCTTACTTAGCATATCATGCAGTAATAAAATATATGCAAAATGCAAATGCATACAAATCCTCGCACTAATTATAGGTATTATATCAATTCATATTTTATTATTACTATACAATATATTATTATTTTTATTATTACTATACAATATTACATTATTACCTATGCATACTTACTATGTTCAGTATGGCTATAATTTTGACACCACAACGTAGGTTGATGAAATCGAAACAATATTTTTTCGAGCCCTCCGCCGCCATGTTGTTTTGGTTGGAAAAAAACAATTACTCCGGTTGCAGTCTAATAAAATATGTCGGATTTGAATATTATTATTTCCATATATATATATACATATTAATACAGTTATTCTCGCATGCCATGAAATTTTCAAAACGACACGACGTCGACGTGCTGCAACGCGTACATATAGGTAATAATGATGACACAAATGTGTTTCAAATGTATATAGGTAAAGGTTAGGCCTTGAGCAGTTGTATACTTTTATATTATTTTACTTATGTCCACCGTGTATAATAATCCCGACGGTGATGATATCAAATACTCAAAGAAAAAACTTTATTGGCGTTTGAGAATTGTGGTTTGGCGAGTATATTATGACGTCTTATTAAATTATAGTAATCGTACACGCAAAATTATTCGGATAGGTAGGTAACAAGTAACAATAAATTAGAATATTATATTATTATCATCGGAATAATCAAAATAACAATAATAGTCAATAACTATCACTCTTTATAATATTGCGACAGTAGGGTGCGTTCGTAGATTCGCGATTTTTGTAGATAATAGTTTACTTTTAAACAGCTGCCTATTAGAGAAAAATTGGCGCACTGCAGCACCGATCGTTATGGGCGTTTCCCGTCCTTCAACTTGTTTATATTATACTTGAATATTATAATTTATAAATACTATTTTCTTGTGTTCGTTTGATGCCGTGAAAGTACAAAAATAATCGCGGTGTTTGTACTTTTGCATGTTGCTAAGTGTTGGAGACTATGGAAACGCGTAGGTATATTTGTATAAATTTGTACGCCCGTGGTTTTGTAACAAAGTATATGTATATGTATAATGTATATGACAGCGTAGACATCGTAATTTAATAATTAACATAACCAATCGCGTAAAAAAAATATTATGTATAGAATCGTAAGTTGTAAGTATATAGGTATGATAATATGTAGTTCCTACCTACCTACGTTCAACTGTTCAAGTGATTTTGAAGTTCCACCTCAATTATGTTGACGACTGTAATTAAGTAGTAAATACAAGGTTAATGGTTCATCTTCAATCAGCTAGGAAAAATATTTTAGTAAACACAACGATTTTTAATCAGTTTTTTAAAATAATATCCAAGCTTTTGTATTTGATTTGGATATATTGTTTCATAAAAAAAATTACCCTAAATAGTATATACTATAAAGTAAGTATAGCGATTTGCAAACGAACAAGTTTTATATTATTAACTGTGTATTAATGAACATCTAATATCTATATAAAATATATTATAATATAGAATATAGATACCTAAACCTATATAATATACCAGCGGATCCCAAACTGTGCACCGCAGTGTCTTTACAGCGGCTCCACGTTGCCGTAGAATTTTATCATCCATCCCATTACTTTAATATGCACAGATAAATATACACTTAAATCTTAATATAACTCATGTCTTATGATTTATGTAGTTATGCAAGTTTTAATTTTTTAGGGGGGCACCGTGTAAACCCCCTTATTTCAAAAAAGGGCGCCGCAGGCCAAAAAGAGTTTGGGAACCACAGCCCTACACAGAATACAGAACAAAACTATCATACTCGTTAGTAGTTTACTATGTTTGCTGTTTACAGTAATGCATGGTAATAAGTAATAATATACAAATTAAAAAAATGATATATACAATATACCTACATATATATTATAATATATCCGATCTCGTTTTTGAGAAAAAATATTGAAGCACATTATTAGTAGCTCCCTAATTTGGCGTCCAATATTTATTGCGTGTTGGGTATGGTAATTCTTCTAATTGGTTATTTACTTGTACCATCTAAAGAACTTTAAGAAATTATTTACCAAGTAATATAATAATATATAATAATATATAAATATTAAATACGTCTATATTAAATATAAATACGCAAACAATTTACATAGGTTTAATATACTATGTATTTCAGTATTTGTATATTAATTAATAATAATAATTATTAGTTTTAGCTCGAAGATGCTATTTGCTCAATTATTGCAAAAACTAAAATACAAAAAAAATGTATTATTTTTAATATTAGATGAGCTAAGGACAGATAAATTTAATATAAAATTACTCGGGTGTGATGAACATGCAAATGCATTAACCAAAAATATAATAACATTTTATTTACATTCCAAAATGTATTTTGTATGTGAGAAAAAATAAAAGCCAAAAAAACTAAACTAAGCACTAAGTAGTCTAAACTCGTATAACAATGTAACATATAATTGTTAAAATATAATACTTTTAAAATAAAACTTCCTTCATAAAATCTATATTAAATTGTATTTATACATATAAAAAATTAAGTAATAAGTAATAGTCCAACCACGATTGAAGATATTATTCGATCGAAACTTTCGACTTTCGAGTATGGGTGATAATGGTAATGGCATCTATTGGTAGCTTTTAGAACCATTATGAGTGCACGAAGATCTCGTAACCGCTGATAATTATAATCGTTAGACAGCGTTGTTATACATGTTCTATAGTTATTTTAAACTTGCGTTACTTTTGTCTTGTGACTTGTGTTGATTATAATATTAATATCATTAATTTATAGTTATAATATGATTATATTATTATACATTTTGATCCTTGTATTACTTTCCTCGACACATTTACAAAATAAAAAAACAAAATTTAATATAATATCTTGAAGTATGTTAATAATTAGTATCCTCGATAAGTGATGTCAAAGGATTAATTACGGAGAGAGTGATTATTTAGTGATATAAAAATCAAACACCGGATTTTTAAGTATTAAAATACAAAATATGCTCTTTGGTCAAAATTAATGTATAATGGAAATGAAACAGTTTTTTAGTTTTTTAGATTAAATATATTATATTATATTTAGCAAATATATCTCATGGGATATAATAATGTGGGTGAAGTTTTAGTAGTTTGTATCACGATTACAAATAGTTTATTAATGTATTGTCAATATTTGTATTATTCTAAAAATAAAATAATATTCTCACTTGTCAACTTCTGACTTTTTGACAGACTACCAACCGAATAATTGCCGAAAATAAAATTCACTGATTTTCCATCACATTTAAGCACAAGCACATAGTTTTGTTTTCATAAAATAACAAAAAATATCTCATGTTTATATTATGCATAAGTTACTAGATGGTAATTGGTAATAGTGATTTATAATTTACATATTATAATATGGAAAAACTATAAAATCATAAATAAAATATGAAGGTAACCATATTGATATTAAGCCAAATGATTTTGAGCTAACTTTTTGCACCAATTGTAACTAATATTCTATGACTTTTATTACGACAAATTGCACAATCAATATCACACGCGTAACCTCTAGGAATGGTAAAATTAGATTAAAATAATATATTGGACTGACATCGACCGTTGATCAAATTTGACAACTAGCTGATAAACGCCATGTCAGTGCCTATATACAATAATAATAGTTTTGTGTCCTTACATTTTGTTCAACACAAATAAAAAAAGCGGGTAAGTCGTGTATGTC